GCTGTACTCTAATACCTAAAAGGTTATAAAACATTCTAATATACAACAGTTGGTTATAAACCAACTAAATATGTGTATTAGTAATATTTTTTTTTTAATTTTGCCAGGATTTCACTTGAAGTGGTTCATCCACAAAAAAATGATTGAGGGAATTATCAGCACTTCCCAAGAGATGTTAAAGCCTTTGTAGTGACACCCTTAAATTCCTGTGTAAGGAAATGAAGATCAATGATGGCTTTTAGAAAGTTAATTTTGTCCAAGAGATCACAACTATAGTCTTGCTTAAATGCTAAGTACAGAGGAAGCAAAATTTCCCACTGATTTAACTGTGATGCTCAGGGGTAGCCAAGCCAGTCCTGTCAGCAGTGATGCTGCTAATGTCTACTCCCACCTTCCATCCAAAAAGGTGGTAGCAGCTCTGGTCACAAGATTTCAGACACTGGAACAGGTTGCCCAAGTAAGTTGGGGCTGCTCCTCCCTGGAAGTGTTGAAGTCCAGGCTGGATGAGGCTTTGAGCAACCTGGTCTAGTGGAAGGTGTCCCTGCTGCTGGCAGCGGGGTTGGAACTGGATGATCTTTAAGGTCCCTTCCAACCCAAACCATTCTATGATTCTGTGATTTATTTACCAGTCATCTTGAGCAGATTAAACATGTTTTTAATATAGAAAGGCTGATGCTGCATGAAAACTTAAGCAACACATGAACTAGGTTTACAGACATGATAGACTGGAAAGCAGATCCCAACTTCTCATGCACTGCTGTCCTGCAGAATTCTCAGTTTATAGTAATTCTACACTTCACACAGCAACATCCATCTGATGCAAGAAGATAGAAAGAAATTGCCCTTCCTAGGAAGAGACAAACACCTTTTCTGTAGCAGATCCAGGTAGTTTCCCTCTCCTTCACCAAATCAGGGCAGTAATCTTGGAAATGGTTAAACCTAACAAGTCAGAGCCAAGTACAGCTAATTCTGACCTCTCTCCAACCATGAGTCAGGATTCAGCCAAAATACCATATTAAGATACCTGTTTTAAAGTCATTTATTGGTGGATTTGTTCCAGGAACAGCAAACACAGTACTGGATTGTTCAATTCATGGTCTTTAAACGTTACTCTTTCATCTCTACCTAACCGATAGTCATCCTCACTCTCACGAGGAAGTTCAGGCCATGCAAGAACACTGTTTCTTGAGGTTTTCAACACTGCTTCCTCTGCCCAGTCATAACCTACCAGCCCTCCATCATTACAATACTGGAATCCATTAGAACAGACCTGTTAATGTCATTCAGCAAACTTCTATCACTGCCTAATCCCTATGACCCATCTGTAGAAGTATTTGCAGAGAAAGGACTCTTCTGAATAGCTGAAGCTATGCAATACCCCAGACTCTTTACTCCTGCCAGGCACCTAAAAGTGTGGTTGGGTGAAGAGGGCATCTGTCATCACCATAAGACCTAGATGTGTGACAGCTCATGTGGTAATGAGTCCAGGAGCAGAGCTAGCCATGGCATTCTCATTTCAAAGGCTAATACAATTTCTTTTCAGTTAGTGTGACTTCTTCAACTACCAGTACCTCCTAATGATAATTAGGACAATTTGCTCCCATGTACCATCTTCCTCACCCACAACTACAGATGCCAGATATCTTTATTATGCCTTTGGAAAAGAGTATCCTTGAATTAAGGAGAAGAGAAGGCTCCAAGGAGACCTTCTAGTGGCCTCCCAGTACCTGAAGGGGCTCCAGGAAAGCTGGGGAGGGACTTTGGCCAAGGGCAGGGAGTGAGAGAACAAGGGGTGATGGCTTGAAAGCGTCAGAGGGGAGATGGAGCTGAGATGTGAGGAAGAAATTGTTTGGTGTGAGGGTGGTGAGCCAGTGTCCCAGGTTGGCCAGAGAAGCTGTGGCTGCTCCTCCCTGGAAGTGTTGAAGGCCAGGCTGGATGAGGCTTTGAGCAACGTGGTCTAGTGGAAGGTGTCCCTGCTGCTGGCAGGGGGGTTGGAACTGGATGAGCTTTAAGGTCCCTTCCAACCCAAACCTTTCTATGATTCTATAAGGATGAATGCAGAGGAGCAAGAGTTCCCACAGCCCAAGCTACTCACATTTATTCAGTTTCCTCTTGAACAACTGTATGAAAGCAACGTTTGTGTGATGCTACCAGAAAGAAGTGGTTATATGAGCTTTTGCCACAGCTTTTAACTTGAAAGAGGGGAAGTGAGCTCAGAGGCAGGGGCCTGAGTAGGAAGAATAAAGTTCTTTTGCACTTACCACCAGACATTAAGTAGTCCCTCAAAATGGGCATCCTGAAATTCCCAGCCAGGGTAGCAAGGTATGGTCGGATCCCAGGGAATTTCTGGCTGACACCTGTGGCCTCTGTGCTGAAGTTGCAAAAGGCACCCAAGCCCATGATGCCATGTGGATGGTACCCAAAAATGTAATTCCTGGTGGTCAGCAGATTGTGGGTTTTAACCAGCTAGGGAAGAAAAGAATGAGTTCACATGAAGACAGATTGTTTTATTTATGTAATAAAAAAAAAAAGAAAAAAAGAAAAAACCTAAATGTCCCCAACTTTTGCCTCTCTCCCCACCAGGGAGAACACCCTAAGGGCTGGGGGTATGGGCTATCCTGGATTTCAGTGGCTGTGGTAAGAGCAGCCACTTAGACTTCAGTTCCTCAAGTAGAAGGAGCAGAATAAACAGGGTGATCTTAAACACAAGAGTACTGCCAGCCAAGCAGGAACAGAGGTTGAGTTGCAGTACCCTGTGCCCTTTGTTTCTCCACTCCTCCCAAAAGTATTCTTAAAAGCCTCTTGTCCAAACCAACCAAGTTCTTCATGTCCCTTGTAGCCACAGCTACGCCTCCTTCCAGGCCCTCTCACCACATTAGTGGCTCACATCCCAGTATGAGGTGGAAAAAAAAGAATGAAAATCAGTGTCCCATAACAGATACAAATTTACTTAATACCTGAAAAAAAGACCCAAGCACTTAGTACACCTGCTGGCCACCTTCCAAGAGAGAAAGTGTGCAGAAGGGTGACTTACCACTGGAAACCATCCCTCTTTTCAAGAGGTTTTGCTCTGGTCTACGTGCCAAAGGGCCAATGAGACACCTCAAGCCATCTACAGCAGATTTCTTCAGGACACGCTCCAGCAGTGGTGATCATATTGGTTTGGGGGTTGTGCAATATTCCTAACTATTTACTCATCTTTATTTGCACAACATGGACACTGCAAAGCTGTCTTAGCTGTACACAACACAACCCATGCCCTGGTACCACCACTGCCAGAGGATTTGTTTTTTGGATGCTGTAAGTAGCAGCATCATCCCATGGATCAGAGCATCTTCCCCTGGCAACATGCAAATGGTCTGAGTAAGTTACAACAGGTTTGTTGCATCACAGTCATATAGAAACTATCACAGTCATATAGAAGTAGGGGTCAAACTTAATTTTTTCAAGCTGCAATGATATCAGTTTTTTGGTGACTACAGCACCCCAGCAGCTCTTAGAGACGGGACAAGACCTACAAATCCCAGTTGCACCTTCAGCGTGAGGTACTGAACAACTGCACCCCATCTTTCAAATTTGACATGCAAAGGTCACTCTATGTCACCTCCCAGAGGAAAAAGTGCAGGTTTCCAAGACGTCACATCAGCATTACATACCCCACTGTCTTAGCCAAGAAGTGCCTTGGCAAGCACGTCCGTCCCTTTTGTTGAATCATGCTACAGGGAGCTGACGTCCCATTGCGACACGCTGACTGGATGATCTTTAAGGTCCCTTCCAATCCTACCCATTCTATGATTCTATGAAACAGAGTGCCCAGAAATTTGATTCCCTCCTCCCCACGTTCCCACCTCTGTCCCTAGATGAGGCTACAGCATTTGGGCTATTTCAGACAGCGGCTGCTGGGTTTAGCAAGTTGATTACCCTGTGCCCTCCCCCTTACTTTCCTCTAAGCCTTGAGGTCACGTAGGGCTCAGGAAGTACGTGCAGAGGATTGTGGTTGCAGCAACTGTGTAGAGCCCCACAACCTATGTCACAGCAAATCATCTTTTCTTCTCTTTC